TATATGAATAGATATAACTATATATAAGTATATTATATATAGCATAACTATATATACTTATATATAGCATATTATACTATAATATACTATATATAAGTATATATAGTTATGCTATATATAGGTATATATATAATATACTTATATATAGTATATTATATATTATATAATAGTACATATTATATAACTGAGATATATATCCCAGTTAATACATATCCCAGTTAACATATATCTCAGTTAATATTTATCTTGTTTCTATATTTGTTTACTTATTATCTGTTTCTACCCACAGAACATGAGTCAGGAGGATACAGCTCTCAGCTCTCATTCTTGCTACTTCTGGAACATGGTAAGGGCTATCTAGATTACTAGACTGGAATAGAGGATGAATTAGAGGCAAGGAGACAGGGAGGCAAAGACAGAAGGAGAAATGAACTGAAGATACTGTCAAATTCTCTTGAAAAGTTGGAAGAAGCATCACCATTGGCATCAAACAGAACAGCGGGGCCAGGCAATGATTAGAAGGGGGAAAAGGACTATCACTCCTTGTTCATTTGTTGTTGTAGGATTTAAAATATGATAATGCAAACTAATCTGTTAGCTCAGTGCAAGGCATCAGAGCTTAAAATCTATTAGTTACTTCTATTCCGGAAACTGTCTAGTCTCTCCTAACATCAGTTAGTCTTGTCTGAGAGCTACTGACATGCAGGAGGTCTGATCTACAAAAGAAACTCAAGCTGGGGCAGCTAGGGCCAGTGGCTTTGGAGGAATCTCACATAACTTCACAGAGCAAAGCAAAAGAAGGAAAGTCCAATAGCTGTTATTACATTATTCTTTCTAAAAGAATATCCAGTAAATATCAGGGCAGACAATGCCCTCATGGCCAGTGGTGTCTATAGCCCTTTTTATTCTCTTCCTTTTATGCAAAGTGTTTCTTCCCCAGCTTCAGAAACAAAACAACAGAGAACGCTTTAGAATACTATCGACACAAGTGCTATGACTCTAGAGTCTCCTTAAAGACTGTCATTTGAGGAAGTTAAAACCCAAGCAAGAGCTGGGCCCAATGATATGCACTTATAATGCTGGCCTTTGGGAAGCTAGGTCAGGAGGATCATAAGTTCAAATCCAACCTAGGCTATGTAGCAAGAACCCGTCTCAAAAAAATTACAAAAACAAAAACAAGACTTAACTCAAGGGGCCAGGAAGATGGGATAGGACAATCAGGAGATAGCTAAGTGCTGAAGGAGATTCAAAATTCAGACAATCCACTAATGGATAATAGATCCCATTCAGTCTATGGCTGAGCTCATGCTCAGACCAGCCATTTCCATGCTCATATTCATATACAGGCAGGTTCTAGAGCTACCCTCTTCATTACCTAACATTTCCCCCTCCAGCCATCACTACCACATGCAGCAACACAATTTCAAATGGAAAATTGTTTCTAGGGCTACTTAGACAAGGAAAACTATGTGGGAGATTTTCTCAGATACAACCATAGGGATTGTATTAGTTAAATCGAAATTGTTTTATGATTTCCTCCCTGCAAAGAAATTTGTCAGGCTGGTCATCATTTATTTCAAAAACCTCCCACTTGCCATCTGCTGGGGTTGAAGGGAACGTTTATCTTTTGTTTTACCTATTCCTTCCTCCCCTTTTCTTTATCTCAGTGATCTTTTTGGACATAATTTAATGTCCTACAAGAAATTAAATCTGCTCTGCATACTATGCTCTAATATGGCATCTGTTATGAGAAAGGTGATTAACATTGTAAGCTCTTGGCCACAAAAATAAACTATATTATAAATATGCCTCTCATAACACCATTTCTTCAAAACACTGGCAAGGAATCTAGATAATTATTCCACAAATTATGAGGAAGGCATCCGTGACTCAAAATCATCACATTAAGACAGAGGTTGGCAATCACAATATGTTTTATCAGTTCGAATTATTTTGGAAAAGCTTAATAGAAGAATTCCATGTACTGATTAACCCTTGCTATGCAAAATAAATAAAACTCCACATGAATTAGGGGGCTAGGACACTTGGTAGAAGTACTGATGTGTAAAACAAGTTTATACCTGCTTTGAGAATCCCTAATTCATGACACAATGAATCATTTGGGGTGGTCTGAAAGCCACTTTCCCAGCCTTCTCAACTAAACAGGGACCAAGAATATTATGGTGTTGCCGTTTCTCAGAACACTGCAATCTCCTTAAGTTTAATAAGCACTATCATAGTCTTCCTTATTCTCCGATAGCTATCCAAGTAAATGGCTTCCCAAAAGAAGAAACAATCACCTTATAAGGGAAAAATCTAAAGCTCTCTTTCTGCCTCTCAAGCTCCAGAAACACAACTGAACACCCAAAGCATTTGATGATTCATAGGCAAAACAAAACAACCTCCTTGTTTTAAATGCATATAGTCTCTGAGACTAGCCTCAAACCCCTTCCTCCACAGTTCACATCTTATCCTCAACCATGACTTAATACTAGGTACACATACCTGAGAAATGTAGGTTCCCAAACCTATCAAGCAACCATGCCTCTAGAACATTCCTCCTTCCTCTTATTTAACCACAGGAAAGACACTGAGACCACCTACCTATCTTAAACCCCCACCCACTGTGTTTTCATGTTCCTTCTTCCTAGCTAATACTTCCCTTTCTTGTTTCTATTTTTATAAAAATATCTGGGGCTCTTGAGACATGTGGTCCCTCCCAGGGGTGCCAACTTTGACATCTTAAGATGGACATCTTTCTGACCATCAGTGTGAAGAGAAGTCAAGGGTAAGGAGAGCAATACACACAGCACCCCAACCCAGTGCAGCTTCTGTGTCGGGCCCCTTCCTTGATACACACTTTGCTTTGACTGCGTGACCCTCAAAGCCAACATGGCTACCACATGACTCTCAACGCTCTGTGGTTCAGATAGTCTCCTGATAGGGCTGCCCACCTCATCTGCACTGAGGAAGAGATTACATCGGGGGAGGCACAACATTTGTCTGTTGGTAGCCATTGATTCACCTATTGGAGTGACTCAGTTCCTGGCTTTTGCTCCCTCTGATGTTTCTGAAAGATGTCTCTTTCTTAAAGTTGTAGCCCAACAGTTATAGAAAACATCTGCTATAGAAAACACAACTGCCCTGGGGACATACAGAGGCCCTTCCCTTCTTACCTGCAGTAATAGTGGCGGCCATATTTGGCCCAGTGGTCTCGGACAATTTCCTCCACACTCTGCTTCCGGGCAGCAATAATGGACAGCCAGACCAAAACAGCCCACAGGCCATCTTTCTCTCGGAGGTGATCAGACCCTAAGAGGAGAATGAAAGATTCTGCTGTAGAATCTTTTCTGGGAAGTACTTTGAAGAGACACGGAAGAGGAAGGAGTTCTGGAGGAGGTGGGAATGTTGAGAGTATAAAGCAAAAGCAAAAGAAACTAGTAAGACCAATTAATAACTGAAGGCGATGTTGAAATGATCGGTTACATCTGTCACTGTGTAAAGTACATGCCCCACAATATATTTGTTTTTCCAAAAATAGGCAAGTGAAAAATAACATAGAATGTTGACAAAAACACAGTAAAATCCTAGAGACTGTCGTAGAAATTGAAGAGCCTAGCTGACATCACATCAGCACAATGGTATCGTTAATTCATCCTTTTATTTAGTGAAGACTTGGTGATCCCAATAATATACTGAGCCTTGCTCTATGTCCTAGCAATATAGTAGTAAAATGCCCTTGTAAAATGCCCTTTACTCAAAAATCTGAATTTAACTAGAGAGAAACAAGCAAAAGAAAAATAAGACAGATAAAAGACCAAAATGCAACAAATAAAGGCTAGTACTTTAAAAAATCGAAATGCTTATGTCACAGAAAATAACAGCAACAAAGACTGCTTTATCTAAAGTTGAATGGTGATCCCATCAGATGCATTCTTTTGGGAGGAATGGTCTTTGTAGGTATAACTGGGTTAGATATCCAAGAAATAAAATTATTCTGGAATAGCTTGGTGAACCCTAAACCCAGTAACAAGAGTTTATTTATTTATTTATCTTTATTTTCAATTTTTAAATTTTTTTTGCTAGTCCTGGGGCTTGAGTTCTGGGCCTGGTCACACTGTCCCTGGGCTTTTATGCTCAAGCCTAGCACTCTACCACTTAAGTCACAGCTCTACTTCCAGCTTCTTGTGGCTACTTAGAAATAAGAGTCTCAGACTTTCCTGCCTGGGCTGGCTTCAGATCTCGATCCTCAGTTCACAGCCTCCTGAGTTGTTCAGATTACAGTCATGAGCAACTGGTGCCTGGCAAACAAGGGATCTTACCAGGAGAAAAGACACTGAGAAATGGAGGGACATGCTCCAGAGGGAGAGAATCTGAGATGGGAGTTCTACTACCATTAGCCAAGGAAAGCATCGAGCCACCACAAACTGAAGAGGTAAGCAAAGACCCTCCCTGGAGCCTGTGAAGAAATAGTCCTACCAACACCTTGGCTTTGGATTCCTGGCCTTTAGAACTAAGAGAGAATAAGTTTCTATTGTTTTAAGGCACTCAGCTCGTGTAGAGATAGCCCTAGAAGACTAACACAGGTCGCTTGGGTCAGGCCCACTGAGATAAAGAATCTGAGCTGACACTTGAGGAGGAGTTGTCCATGCCAAGGTCTAGGGATAGAGTGTTCCAAGCCACGGGTCAGCAAATGCAAAGTCTCTGAGGCAGGAAGGAGCCTGAAAGCCAAATCCTGCAGCTACTTGTATATTATAGGACAGAGAGGTCAGTCTTATTATATGTACACACAACAAAAGAGTAAAGTCTAAACAAGAAGCGTCCAGTAAGAAGTTACTCTAGAAACATGATACAGGACCACTGAAGCATCTCTTGGGTGGTCAGTTGCATGCTTCCTCTAAAGTGGGTAAAGGCCTTGAAGTCAAAGGATCATTTGTTGTATGAGAAAAGCTTCGGGAAGGCTTAGGAATGAGGATTTCAATCATCTTCGGCTACTCCAATGTTCTGTGCCTCTGCTTCTTTGTAAAATGGTCACATCATCATCAATATTATAGCCTTTAAAAGAGCAGGCTCTGGGACCTGTGGACATGTACCTGTAATCCCAACTACTCAGGAATTTGAGGTAGGAAGATCTTTAGTTTAAGACCAGTGATACCCTGTCCCTAAAAAAATGGCAGGCTCTTGAGTCAATGTTCATGTTGATCCCTCACTACATACTTGGAGACAAATTATTCTGTTACACACACACACACACACACACACACACACACACACAAACACATTATGACTCTAGCAGCAGTAATGTCTTAAGAAATAGGACTGGAACAACAGAGAACAGTACTCTTGGCTTCCAGGACTGTGAAAAACATAAATAGAAAATCAGCAAATGAGAACCATGTCACAAAGTTGCTAAACCCATTTTTAAATAGGATGAAACAAGTCTTTAGCTAACTTAAATGTCTTTCATTGTGTATCCCTGTAGCTACAGCCCATGCACCATTCTTATATTTACCATTTTAAATGCTTAAATGTTTTTTGTTCTTAAAAGGGAAAATACACAACCCTGGGAGAGCAGTGACATTACTTAAGTCAGAAAGACAAAGAGTCATGTTGTTAGTTCTTAACGCACTGATCCGTGATCTGCTGACGGCATTGTTGGATGTCACATTAGGCTTATATCTAGGTTAAGAAGACACTGGACACTAATCATCACACCCCAAAGTGACTTTGGACTCAGCCAGTGAATTCTTCACACTGATACAAAAAAGGAAGAAATTTGGACGACTCAGTCTCAGAAAGATGGCCAACTGCCAAAACAACAAGTCTAGGAAACCCTGCCCAGTGTGATCGTTTCAAAACCTTTTGTCCTTTTATAGCTGAGAAAAATCACTTTTACTTACTGGCTAGAGAAAAATACCCTTTTGTTCAAAAACATCCCCAGCTGGATCACATTACCTAGAGAGAGAACCATTAGATGCTATTAAGTGTGTAAGATAAGATTGTCAGAATTTACTGGTAGAGAAACACAGAGTTCTTTTAGGTGGATTAAAAGAAAATTAAAAAAAAAACACCTCAATCCATTGTGGCCAACTGCAGAGTAACTTGTGAGCTGGCCTGGATATCTTTGCCTACAAGCTAAACATTTGCCAAGATTCTTAAGGGGCCTGCGATCAAATAAAAATTAACTGTGTTCTTTATAATTGTCAGAGGCAGAGATAAAGACATCAGTTAATGAAGCTACAATTACACATATGTTTCCAAGTGAAGACCACAGTGTGTGCTACAGGGGTCTTGGGAGGTCCTTTTAATATCTTTAAGGGACATAAACTTGACATATCTGTGACAGGTAAATTAAATAAGGAGGGAAGAAAACACAAAGATACCACATGATGTCCTCTATAAGGAGTCAAAATGGGTGGGGGATGTTTACATAAATAAGTATATGTACACACATATATGTATCTGTCATATACAGTCAATAGTCTACGTTAAAAAATGTTTTTATAAGTCAATAAGAAAAAAGAGGAACCCCAAAAGACAACTGGTACAAAGGAGCCTCTCTCTTTCCCTTTCTCTCTCCCTCCATCCACCCTCTCTCTCTCATGCTGGCTCAGTAACAAATCCAGCATCTTATACATGCTAGGCAAGTGCTGTACCACTGAATTACTTCTCCATCTCAAGAAAGTACTTTTCAGGAGAAAATAGCAATGGTCAACAAACAGCCTCACTGTGGTCAAAGAAAAGCCCATAAAGGGGGGGAGGACCATTTAGGGATAGTCAGATGAGCAAAGGTTAGCTTGGAGAAAGGACAATGTGTAGTACTGATAAAGTACCAGTGTAAAAGAGTATATTGGGTTAATGTAATATGACAATTATGATCAATAGGGTCATATTCATGTTTGGACCCAGTGATTCTATTTCTTTATCTGAACACAAAAAGATATTCATAGATGTATCTAAGAAGGAAACAGTGAAGACAAATATCAGTTCTCACATAGACAAAGTACTGAATAAAGAATCTTCAGTAATAAATGATGATGTTTAGACCCATTTTGATAACTGGGAAAAATCAGTATATCCAAAGAAAATAACAAGGGATGACATGGTCCAAAAAGAAATGTACTCATTATCTGACTTAGATAACTGGAACCCCTCTGAACATCACCTCAACAATAACAATAACTTGTAGGAAGTGTGTGCATATGTGTGGGTGGACAGACAAAAACAGAAAAGCATACAGCAATCCATCAGCAGTAAGTAGGCAGCTCAGAAGCGGTAGCATTGCAGGTGATTTTCTTCTCTTTACGGTATTTCTACAATAAACATGCTATTATTTGTATGTGAGGAAAAAAGGTTTTTAAATTTATCAGTGGGGTGTATTCAAATTCACATTTAAGACCGTGCCTTTCAGAATGTTGTATAGTTAGATCCCAGTAACATCCAGCCTTGTCAGGTTTAGTAACATGCATGTAATCTGAATTAACACCACCATGTCTTTGGAAGCTAGCTTCTTCTGACTGAGTCTCCTTCAGGCCATGGCAAGGAAAATGGATCCCTAATTCCTAAAGCCTGTAAGTACCACATGCCCTTGAGCGTCCCGGCCAGCACAACCCAAAGCCCACCTGATGGAGTAGTGGTGGAGAGCAGCCGTCTTTACCTGGGCACCAATGGGAAGGTGCTTAGCTATTCTCCGCCAACACTCCAACAAGAATTGGCCTAGAAAGTGGGGCTTGTCTGCTTTTTTCCATCACAAATATCAAAAGGTTCCCTTTCTACTCCAATTAAACTTGGAGTTTTCTCAGGCTGGAAAACCATGGTCCTGGGGCCAGGGCACAACACCAGTAACGATACTACCTCTCCCAAGAGGGCAATCGAAGGGAAAAATAAAGAGAACGCCCAATCATCTCAAAGGAATTTGTTTCTTCAAATAGAAATTCCAGTGTGGATGAGTCCATCAGACATCACACAGACTGCTGCCCGGTCAAATCATCACAGCTGAAATTAATGTCGGGGAACTCTCAAGGTGTCAGTTAGGAAAAGCCTAAGTCACCATGCACCTGCTGGTGACTCTGAGCTTTGACATGGTTAGCAATTCCCTAACCTGAATGGCACCATAAGACCACCCACAGAACTTTAATACCCCTCCCCCCACACACATACACACACACACACACATACCCACACCCTGGCCAATCAAATCAGGCAATCTTTTCCCAAAAGCTCCTTGGGTGATTTTTTTCAGGTTACAGCCAGGGCTGAGGGCTGCTGTTTGAGAAGGTACTTCATCTAGTCTTATGATATGGGGAGTGAAT